GCGATTTACGTTTCACGCAGGATGACGTGAAAAACAATTCTGTTCACTCGAAGCCCAAGCCAGCTGTTTGGCCTCCGAGGTGTCAATCTGCTGACGAGGACACAAACCTGCCGCAATGCACGCATTTCTGCCTGGGAAGCCTGGCAGAGCCGAAGTGGAAATGGCTCACAGCGGATGTTTTGGATGATATCCAGGTCTTCAAACCCCGCAACAAGAGAATCCAATTCCGTGAAGTGTGAAGGCGCTCTGTTTGGTATTCCAGGTTATCTCATTTCGTTGTACATAAGGCATTGAAGGTGAAGCATTTGGAACAGGGAACGAGAGAGCGCACAGAAGGGGGAGAGGAGCGAGAGAGTAGGGTTACAGAGAAGGAAAGCTTAAAAGAAAGGGCTGATAAACGAGGTGGGTGAGGAAGAGGATAGCTTGTATGGAGACCGGCGGATTGGGGGACTTCCGCTCATTCTCAAAGAAAGAAGATGGAGTAACGGGACTGAAGGACAGTTGTGGAACGGACGGGTCAGACGAGCATGGGCTGCATGGATATGAGTGGATCCGAGGGGCGGGAACAAGGGAGTAAAGGGGTTTGCACCAGGGAGGAACTTTATTCCATTGTAAGCATCTGTTAGCAAGGACTACAGATTATGTCCCTTCCCATAAAGCCGTGTCGACACCCAATCTTGTAACCACGAAGGGAGGGAACCGAACAGCACTCCTGCATGTGCGTGTCGCCCAAACACAACTCGAATTGGTGGCCGCTTCGCAAATGCTGCATTGGCGATGCGCTCCGCAAGTTGCGATGCAGGCGGGTTCTTCGTATCAGCTGCACGATACTCGTACGACTGACACATTCGCAACTCGAGGGCCTTGTATGGGCTATCGTCGGGAATTGACGGCATATCGGCTGCGGTTTTGCTGAAGATGTTTGTTTGGATGTAACCAGGAGTTACCAGCACCACTCGAATTCCGAAAGGCTTCATCTCCACTCGCATGCAGTTTGTAACCGCGTTGAGAGCTGCCTTACTTCCAGAATAGGCCGACGTGAAGGGTCTGAAAGAGAAAGGGGATACAAAAACGTATGAAGAAACCAGCGAGAGAAGTGAATAAACAAGAAGGGGTCACTCGGAGCTTCAAACCACATTGTTGCACGATAGGAGCAAAGCATGGGCATCACGCATTGCAGAAAGAAAATAGCGCCATGAGTTTTGGGCTGAGAGGGAAGATAGTGAAACGGGAGTGCAGTGAGTGCTTGTGCGAGGAATGATTGAGATGAGTTAAAAGGGATTGAAGGGCGTACCGGTGAGTGTAGCTGCTGACAGATGACATGTTGATGATGGTTCCACTACCGTGTTTCGCCATGTGCGGAAACACTGCTTGCGAAAGCGCTACAGCGCCAAAAACATTTGTTTCGTAAACTAATCGCAATCTATCGAGGGGAATTTCAGCAACTGGAGACGGAGCGCCGAATCCCGCATTGTTCACCAGCACATCGATACAGTCACACTCCGACATCACACGCGCGATCGCTTCCTGCCGACAGGAGACGACAGAGAAGGACCAGATGGATTAAAACCGAGGAAAAATAGCAAAGGGAGAGAACGGACCCCGGGGAAAAAAAGCCAAGCAGGATGAGGGGTGAGGGGGGGGACGGTGGTGGGGAATGTGGAATGTAGGGCGGCAGGCAGATATATAATAGTGAGGAGGTTGGGAAGATGCGACCGACACGGGTACCGAGAGGATCTTGGCAAGAGTCAGGGTCGAAACTGGGAATTAAACAGCATGCTATGTTATCGTATAACCACGGATTTTCTTTTTGGCTCGAATATATTCAGGTAAAGTTGTTATCGTGGCTTCACGGATGAGTTCAGGATCCTCTATCGTAGTCACACCTTCACGGATTCAATGCAAGTGACGTCTAGCGGGAGCAGTCGAACGCCCAGCTCTGACAGCCCGTCCATCGCATCGAGTCGCCGAGCTGTCGCGTACACTGTCGCTCCGCGACTCGCAAACTCTCTGTTGAGATTTTGCGAAAACACCATATATTCTGAAGGTGGTTATCAGGAACCAAGAGCCTCCTATATCATGACCATCATGAACAAAAACACGAAGGTGGGTGATTGTGTGTTTGTGTGTAGAATAAGAGCACACTTACTCTGCAAGAGCGTATCCAATCCCGCCAACGGAGCACCCCGTTATAAGCACAACCTTGCCTCGCCCCTGCTTGTGCTTATCCTTCCGCTTCGCAGAATATCCAAAATCGCTATACGCGTCGCGCTGCACAAGACTGGGACTTACGAGACACCGCTCATGAAACCTGATGGTCCTCTCGAGGCGCATCATCGTGGTGAAGATTTCTTAACAACAGCCGGCTTTGTAAGATCAACGACGAAGTTTTCCTCGTTTACTGCAAGCAATACTTCGCTGTTTTCCGTCAGGAAGATTATGCGAGGTAGTATGGCCCGTGAATGTGAACTAACATGCCGAGAGTTACGTTAGAGGCCCATCGAGCAACGTCACGCACTTCGAAATCACTCGCCTGCCTATTTATTACTGCATGTCTAGAGCCTCTAATCTGAACACTATTTGCGAATATGAATCTGCTAAGGAAGCACAGACGGGTGCTAGCATAATCTGAATGTAGTTGGCCCAGTAAGTGAGGATAGGGACAACATGTCGCTCAATGGAACCGATTGTTGCGGAATGTCGCGCTTCGAAGAATCTGATAGAAATGGGAGGGAGGGGAACGCCCTGAAATTACGGAACCGTCGCCCCGGCTGTTTTCGTTTCCTTTCTGCTTCATACAACACCAGCCCCTCCGCGTCAATCGACCTTCGCAAATGCTGACGTGAGACGCAGCTGGCCGCGTGCGATTGCTGGAAGTGAGTCGTGCGAATCGCCATAGAGTCTGCGAACAACATGCGAGGTGGTATTGCAGGGCGGGCTTTTCCCGCGCGGAATACATTTGGTGGAATTATGGTGCCGTCGGTGACGCAATACAGGTGTCATCGCGAGATCTATAAAAACGTGATTATACCCTTGTATGGTAGACTAGTGTCATCAAAGGTGCACCGTATACAAAATAATCAGAGACATGGTTTGCACAGGAGCTTCTGTGAAATCTCTCGTCCAGTAATTTTGGCTAACACAGAGCAACCACCTTGCTCACCAAAGCACAAAACTTGCAGAAGCTACAGAAAAAATAGTGATCGAAGACAGTGAGTGCTAGATCTAGCTGTTGCCGCCCGTGCCGAGCCCCAGGAGCATGTTGTTGCCGCCCGGCAAGTACACCACATTGCGGCTCCGAGAAAGAGTTGCAGCAATCTCCCTTGCTGCCTCGATTCGCCTCAGCTCTATCATCGCCCCTCCCACATTCGCCGTCGCATCAGAAATCTGGAATACCGGCACGTCGGGCAGCGAGACAATACATGCAGGCAGAAGTCAGTATCCAGAAAAGTAGTCAGTATCCAGAAAAGTAGTCAGTATCCAGAAAAGTAGTCAGTATCCAGAAAAGTAGTCAGTATCCAGAAAAGTAGTCAGTAAGTATCCAGAAAAGTAGTCAGTATCCAGAAAAGTTCTTATGTATGCCAGATATCAGGGCAAACTAAAAACTCCCGCCTCGCATGCTCCTTCCACGTTGACACAAACATACAAGTCATGTCATGTCATGCCATGCCATGCCATGCCATGCCATGCCATGCCATGCCATGCCATGCCATGCCATGCCATCCCTTGCCATCTCATCACATCCCATGCCATGTCATGGTCCCAGCCCTGCAACCCACCGCCTTGGCTTCCCTCAGATCCACCCTCTGCCCTTGTGACCGCTGCTAACCTTTCCTCTTGCACTAACCAACACGAGCCATATTATGGCCGTGGACAACAATCCAATCCACCCATCCACCCACCCACCCACCCACCCACCCACCCACCCACCCACCCACCCACCCACCCACCCACCCACCCACCCACCCACCCACCCACCCACCCACCCACACAGCCACCTTTTGAGGCGCCTCAAATATAACATCTCTACCATCCTTCCCCAACAACCCACCAGCTTGCCTGTTCTGATTTGCCCCCTACCCTTGTGATCGCTGCCAGCCTCTCCTGCTCCACCTCTTGCACCCACAGGCACACACACAGAAATCACGCCATGCCTTGCCCACCTGTTTGCTACTGACAGTGCCAGCCTCTCCTGCTCCACCTCTTGCACCCACAGGACCACACACAGAAATCACGCCATGCCTTGCCATGGCGCGTCACAAACACACCCAACCAACCCCAGCTCAGCCCATCACCCACCAGCCTGGCCGCTTCAAACTCGCCCTCTGCTCTTGTAATCACTGCCAGCCTTTCCTGCTCCGCCTCTTGTACTGACACACTTAAGTCATGCCATACCATACCCTGCCATGCCATACCATGCCATGCCATACCATGCCATGTCATGCCATGCCATACCATACCATGCCATGCCATGCCATGCCATGCCATGCCATGCCATGCCACCATGCCATGCCACCATGCCATGCCATGCCATGCCATGATTGCAACATAAACCCTAGACCCCGCCCTGCCACCATCAACCCACCAGCTTGGCCGCCTCAGACTCGCCCTCTGCCCGTGTGATCGCTGCCAGCCTTTCCTGCTACCTTCTTGCATTGACACAAACAAAAGTCATGCCCTGCCATGCCATGCTCTCAAGTTAAACCCGAAACCCTAACCCTTAATCCCAAGACCATCACTCACCAGCTTGGCAGCCTCTGACTCGCCCTCTGCCCTTGTGGTCGCTGCCAGCCTCTCCTGCTACCTTCTTGCATTGACACACTGTCACACTCACCAGCCATGCCGCACTCCACAACCCACCCACACCGCACTGTACCCATCAACCTACCAGCTTGGCCGCCTCAGACTCTCCCTCTGCCCGTGTGATCGCTGCCAGCCTCTCCTGCTTGCGTTGACACACACACAACTCATGCCCTGCCAAGCCATGCTCTCAACCTATATTAAACCCTAGACCACAAACCATCACCCACCAGCTTGGCAGCCTCAGACTCGCCCTCTGCCCGTGTGATCGCTGCCAGCCTCTCCTGCTCCGCCTTCATCACCACAAACTTGGACCTCTCAGCCTCCTGCTGGGCTGTGGGGAGGATACAAGGGACAAGGAGAGAAGACAAGGAGAGAAACAATATATCGCATGGGAACAGCCTCTCGTGTTCCGCCTTCATCACCGCTAGAAGCAGAAGGAAGACAAAAAAAAAAAAACAGCACAACACGATACGATACAGTACTGGGAGAAAATAAGATAACCTGCACGAACAGCTTTCAAAAGCAGCAAGCCACTCACCAACTTGCTTCTGCTCAACAGCCTTGGAGAACTCTGCGCCATACGAAAGATGGGTCTGGAGTGGTTGGGTGCGGTTGGGTGGGAAGTGGTGGGGTGGGGTAGGGTGCGAATGGGGTACGGGCCTTAGGGTGAGTATGGGATGGGTGAACACAAATAGGACTGCTGGGAACTCGACGACAAATGAGAGATGGGTCTGATGTGGGTTGGGTGCGGTGGGTTGGGGTGAGGTGCGGTGAACATCGAATATTATGGGTTTGGGATGGTTGGGTTGGTGCAGTGGGGTGGGGTGGGATGGATATCGGGTGCGGGTGAGCATGGGTGGTTTGTTTTGGGCATGGGATGGGTTAAGGGGGATCCGAGGAAGAGACCCAAAATTTGAGACATTTTGAAACATGCTGGTGGCGAGAGTCGCAGCTTTCCAGACACTCCAGAATCACCCTCAACCGCATCAGCACCAGCATCTTTCGTGCCACGTCATTAGTGCCACGTCAGCTCACCAGTGCCACGTCATCCAGCACGATGTTGAAGTCCTTGGCTCGCTGCGTCAGCGCCTCCCGCACAAGCTTCGACACCTGGTTGATGATTCACCACAGGTGGAGTGAAGAGGTGAGTTTACAAATCGCTACTTCTTTACAAACGTAAAAATACTTTATATACATATACATGTACATGTATGCTATGCATGGAAGCTTTACTCAACATTTTTGTATGCTATAATGGCCAAACACCGTAATGCACTGTGCAGTGCACTCACATATGGACGCTCTGTGAGTAGCTGATCCGCATTGAATTGAGCCTGAAGAATAATAAGAAATAAGAAATAAGAGGGGAAAATCACACACACACACACACACACACACACACACACACACACACAAGGATTAAACAATACAGCAATGGGAGCAAAACACCCTCACATTGCAACCCGCCACATCCTACCGAAAGTGTACCTGTGGGCCGGGGATATTTGAGTCACTTTGGGGTATTCTCAAAAGTGACTCAAATGCAATCTGCAACCCCATTTTTTTTGTAGGGTCTAGCTGTGGGACGGGCAGGTGACTTCAGACCTACACGCTATAGCCAAGAAAAAGGTAAAAACAGATTAGTTGCAGACCACCTTGGAGTAATTAACTCCCGATAAAGGGTTATAATTCGTACCGAACACTTTAAAGATGGTCGGCAGGTGTTAGGTCTCATATTCTAACACACACCTAGACCTTTACAGAGATCAGGAAGGAGTTCCCATACTCGTTATAAACAGCTCACCACAACAGCTTTGAGAACTTCGTTGCCAATGGAAGGCAGCACCCTTTCATCGTAATCCGTGCCGAGCGTCTTAAAAATCGCCGGCAGGTGGGTGGAATTTTTAATCCGCAGCTAAACACCTGAATTCACCATACTCCTTATAAGCAGCTCACTACAACCGCTTTGAGCACTTCAATGCCGATAGAGGGCAGCAACCGCCCATCATAATTCGCGCTGAGTGGTGCCATCATTTGAAGATGGTCGGCAGGTGGGTGGTACCTTCTAGCCCACAGCCAAACCTTTACAGGAACCACGCAGAAATTACCGTACTCGTTATAAGCAGCTCACCACGACGGCTTTAAGCACTTCGTTGCCGATAGAAGGCAGCACCCTCTCATCGTAATCCGTGCCGAGGGTCTTGAAAATGGTCGGCAGGTGGGTGTTTTCCGGCTTGGAGAGCACTCGCAGTGTCAGATTCACCATCTGCAGATCTGTGATACGTGAGGAAAAAGGGTGGGGGGGGAGAGAGGATGGGAATTGACTCGTGACGATGGTGGGGGCAGGTGGGTGTTTTCCGGCTTAAAGAGCACTCGCAGGGTGAAATTCACCGTTTGCAGATCTGAGTTCGAAGAGAAGAGAGTGAGAAGAAGGGGGGAGAACAGGGGGCTGAGGAGAGAGAAGATGGGAATTAAAACTTTGAAAGATGGTCAGCAAGTGGGTTTTCAGACGTCTCAAAACACGGCGGGGGAGAGAGAGGTGAGAGAGAGGGGAGAGAGAGGTGAGAGAGAGGGGAGAGAGAAGATGTGAATACACTGTTGAAGATGGACAGCAAGTGGGTGGGAGTGTTAATCTGACCATCTGCAGATCAGAGTTCAGAAAGGGGTTAGGGTTGACGCATTAAGATTTGGGGAGGCGGGTGTGGGAGGGAGGGGAGGACCGGGGAAAGGGGGCGTGAATATGAGAATAAAAGAGGTCTGGATTTGGGGAAGAGAGGGTGAGAAGGAGTGAGAAAATGTGGTGATAAACTCACTCCAGAGCTTATCACACTCTCTCATTGGCTTGAAGATGGTGAGACGGTGGTGACGGACGTGCATCTCTTAAGTCGACTCAATAGTGAGATGACCCTTGAGTCGACTCAGTGTGAGCTTTTTCCCTCACTGGCTTGAAGGTGGTGAGACAGGGGTGATGGACGTGCGTCCCCTCGCCCTGCTCTCATCCCTTCGTTCCTATAACGAGAAAACCTTATCCTACCTTTTGTTCCTGTAACAAAGACAATTGACCCTACCTTTTGTTCCTGTAACGGAGGTAATCGAGCGGGGACGAGTGCGCACGTCGAAGATGTAGGGCTTCTGCAGCCACGGGATTAGGTACACCCTAAGCACATTCGAGCCTCGTATCGAGCACCCCTAACCTGACCAATTGTTCGTGCAACGAAGATGCGTACCTTTTGTTCCTGTAACGGAGGTGATGGAACGCGGGCGAGTACGAACGTCGAAGATGTAGGGCTTCTGCAGCCACGGGATCAGAAAGTGCGTCCCCTCGCCCTGCGTCTCCTCCAGAACTCCGCGGAACCGATCGAACAACACCGCGCGATGCCCGCCGTCGACTGCGGGGAAACAGGTTTGGGAAACAGGTTCGGGTGACAGGCTCGGAATAGAAACTATGCCTAGTAACTGGAGAGGGCGAAATTCTGGCGACGTTCGCCAACACACGCAGCATGATCTCGAGACGAGGTAACACGTACCCGTATAGAGTGACGCGTTAAGCAAGCTGCCGCCCACGCCGAGCGTGATGGCGAGCCTGGCGATGTTCGTCAGCACAGCTGTCGCGGACGAGCTCATGTTGGCGAAGTTCGCTCGTTTAGATAGTTACAAGCTTCGCCTCAGCTGAGCTCACAGCACGAGAGACGCGACGCTCTGCGAATCGTATTCGGATCTTCAAAGATCGTTACCGCTAGAGGGACCGAGGACCCTGTATCCGCCGTAAGATCCGCCGCGTATAGGAACCGAAGGGAAGGTCTCGTGAACGTGGACGACAACTGGCGAAGATCTTGGTCGAAAATCGGCGATACGTTTCGGATCAAATGGATGGGGTGAGAATATCGGCGACTTCAGAAATCGGACGGTCCCTAATCGCGCTCCCAGATGCGGACGGACAAGGCGCCTACTATGTGGCGAATAGAAGGCTCTGGAGAGTCCAGGTTACGTTCTGGAAGCATGAGAGGAATGAGACAAGTTGAGGTGGCGTGTGATGATCTCGACAACGAAGAAGCGCGACCTGGCGAGTACGAAAAGCGTGTGGTAACGAATCGTTCGGCGTAGGCCATTGTGCGGGCTTCGCAGCTGTGGCTAATCGCGCTACTTGCACTTCGGTACTATATAATATTTAAAAAACATGCCCACCCTGATTAATAGATAATTTATTATTGATCAAACCAATAACTAATTGTGTTCTCTCGATCAAGCCATCTATTTCACAGTAGGAACCCGTCAGAATGTAGCAAACTCAGATCACATGTCCACCACAAAGAAACAATACTTTTTTTTTTTCTTAATTGCATACACGTGTCCATTTCGCTCAGGCCTTGGCGGCCTGGGGAGTGGAAGTCGGAACAGCGGTATCAGGAGCCCGGGCGGCCGTGCTCTTGAGGTCCAACAACCCATCCTCCTTGAGCTTGGGGTCGAACCGGAGCACCTCCTTGCAATTCCGCGCCTTGAACGCCGCCTCTAGCTCCCTCTCCACTCGTCTCGCTACCTCCTTCAGTGCCTTGGCCTTGGGAGGACCGGGAGCAGCATAGTCCACTGACTTCTTCTCTTCCTCTGAACACACAAAGGATAAAAAGGAGATACGTAGGTTCATCATTGGGTGCATGTAGGTTTCAGATCATCTCTTGTATCATGCGTATTGAAACGGAGCAACACCAAAAGCAGGAAGATGCACATGTGGCTGCGGAATGCACAAGCATGTGGAGGCTGCTCATTATTCCAGAGGGTGAAAAGCCCCGTCCTTTGATCCACTCTCGTTCTTGTTGATACAGTCACATCATGGTCTTGGAAGGCCGAGGAAGGGCCTGTACCTTTACTAGAGCTGGAAGATTCCTTTCTGTCACTCACCAGTCATGAGGGGCTTGCAGTCAAGAGGGTTCTCCCACCGGTTCTGCTCCGGCCCCTCGTCATTCCCCGGGGGGGCAGCCCCGTTCTCTGCAATCCACTGGTCCTTGATTGCCTCTAGCACCGCCTTGGAGGGGCGCGTGATGTGGGTCACCTTTATCCACGCACATGCACTCGGTACCCGCGCGAAGTGCAGCCGCATGCTCTGGTACACCTGGGAGGGGGAGAGGGGAGGAAAGAGGGACGGAGGGGAGGAGGGTGTGTAGGAAGGGGAAGTGGGAGGGTTGCAATCAACAGCGTTCTCCCACCGGTTCTGCTCCGGCTCCTCGACATTCTCCAGCGGGTTCTCTGCAATCCACTGGTCCTTGATTACCTCTAGCACCGCCGTGGAGGGGCGTGTGATGTGGGTCACCTTTATCCACGCACATGCGCTTGGCACCCGCGCAAAGTGCAGCCACATGCTCTGGTATACCTAGGGGGTGGGGGGTGGTTGGGTTGAGAGAAACGTGTGATGTGGGTCACCTTTATCCATGCACATGCGCTTGGCACCCGCGCAAAGTGCAGCCGCATGCTCTGGTATACCTGGAAGGGGGAAAGAGAATGGGAGGAGGAGAAGGGGCAAGGGTGTGTGTGCGGGGTTGGGATGGGGACGGAGGAGGAGAACTTTGCAGGACGGCCGGGCAAAGTACAGCCGCATGGCGAGGCCTGCAAGCACCTGTTAAAAGTCCCCTCTTTCTGACCCTGCTCACCTGGCGAGACACGCCGATGTACTGTAGCACTTTGTCGTCATTGTAGATGCCATACACGGACGCCTTGGCTCCCGCTTGCGTGCAATCCGATATAAGCCCCTCCTCTGTAAGATACGGCACCCAGTCTAGATCCGCCATACGCGGGTGCGCTCCAGCTGCTGCTGCCGCTCCTCCTGCGGCTGCTCCGGCTGTTGCCCCCCCGGTTGCCTCGCTCTTCCGCTGCGCCATCTGTCTGCGCCGATACTCCTCCTGCGCCTGCATTGATTGCGAGTGGGTGGGTGGTTGTTGAAAAAAAGGAACGACAATCAGCCCACCTTCCTCCTGCACTTGCAGGACTGGGAACGGGTGGGTTGGGTTGCAGTGGGTTCGACTGGCGTGAAAGGAAGACCTCTGCCTCCATACCAGCTGCCTCGATATTCCTTTGCAGAATACGCAGCGCAAAGAGTGGTTCGCTGGGAAAAAAGGCAGATGCGTACGGGTTCTAACTCCAGCCTTTTACAAGGCACGAGCAGGAATGAACGAACGACTTGCATTAGCGGTCCCTGTCTCTGGTAACCTGCCTTTTCATTCTGATATTTTTAGCGATACTATTCTAGCAGTGGCGGGTGTTTTCATTGTTATTTTATTGGCAATGAAATCTTACCCTGGCGGTGGCCTGACGGGTTTGCTCCGCATGAGCTTCAGCCGCTGCGAGCTTCTGCTTCCACTTGGGCTCCGACGACTGACCCGCATCGCCGTCGCCTGCATCCGCAAATGAACATGGTCCAGAGAAACAAATATGAAAATATTGGAGATGGATGTGTGATGTGTCGGTCAGAATATGTTTGTATCGCGTTCGATGCTTAATAGCACATGCAGCAGCGGAAGTGCAGGTGAACGCCATTTTGGCCTCAGAAATGGATTAGGATCAGGCAGTCTTTATACGGAAATTTTTGCTTACCTGCAGCAGCGCAAGTGCAGGCTAAACGTCTGGCAGCAGTCGCATTGGGTCGCAGAGACACGCTGGACGACTGCCTTGAGACCAGCCGCTGCAAGGAAGTGCTGCAAGCAGGGAGACGACAGTACAATGGACATGAACAGAAAAAAAAAAAAAAAAAAAAAAAAAAAAAACCATTGGTGACACTGTTTCATCAGGATGGAACGTTGGATATGGAAGCATACAGGAATCCTCATTCCTATGTAGAACGAATACCTGTGAAGGTGATTGGGGGGTTGGTGAAAAACACGAGGATTCGCCACGCTTTCCGACGCACGACCAATGGCTGAGTGCTGAGGGGGTTTCACTCACCCGACGGCAGTGGAAGTAGCGAGAGCCTCCATTTCTTCCTCAACGAGACAAGTAGTTTCAAGAAATGACAGTGGGAGAGGAGAATCTTCAGGAAAACTACTCGAGTTAGGAGTTTCGGAGCAGGGATTTGAAATAGGAAATCTACGAACTTCAGGGACTACAAATGTACTGGAAGTGGAATGACTAGCAAATGTAAATTGATCCGTGGGTGGAACGGACGGAAACAAAGGAACCTCGAGATTTGTTTCTCGATTCGTACACAACCGCGCTAAAACAAAATGCAAACGTTTTGAACACCCTTGTTTGCAGCGAGCTGACCCTTGAAAATTGTCGTGTTGGAGATGAGATTTCTGAAGCTCCAGTCAGTTGCTGCTAGCATGGATGTGGCCTTCCGCCACGTCGGTTGTGAGGAAGCGGAAGCATCCACTTGCTTCCCATTGGTCCACCTTGGATTTATGAGATTGACTATTGTATAAGCAGGTTTCACAATGATGAACTTTATATCAGTATCAATTGAGCTTTCCGTGTATAACTGGTCTATGCTCATAAGATACATTTCAATTTGTGCAGTTGAATTCGGTAACTACGATTTCGCAGACCAAGTTTTAGGTCGGGGAGCTGATAGTTCCCTGAGTAACTTTCACGAGTGCTACTCTCGTCACTTGTTTGTTAGGTCTCCGTCTGTCACGCGAATTCAGGCTCGATTGATTCCATATCGCGGTATCTAACCCGCTCGTTGGTAGGTTCGATTCGACTTTCCGCTAACAATCGCCTTCGTGTCGCTGACAGTCGCCTGCGATGGGCACAGTAACGGACGACCGTCCCGGCGACGGTCCCGCAGCTCGCGATGCCACCACCTCCGCCACCGCCGCCGCCACGACCCCCTCCGCCGCCAACCCCGCTTCCGCTTCCGCCGCTGTCGCTTCTGGGAAGCGCAAAGAGCGGGAAGAAGCCGCGGGGGACGGTGCAGACGGCGGCGAGCAGCGGGAGAACCGCGGAACTGGGGGGGCGGCGGAAGAAGCGGCCGGACGGACCGGGGGGGAGCCGGCGGAAGCGGAAGCGGCGGTAGCGGAGGATCTGGGACCGGTGGTGGGGCCCGTCATTCCCAAGGCGAAGAAGAAGAAAAAGCCGCTGGTGTTCGAACGCGTGTACCTGGACGCGTTGCCGTCCGCAGAAATGTGAGATTCGCTATAGAGGCGTTTCGAAGGTTTGAGAAATATCGGTACCTGAGCTGAGATAAGAGGTTCAAAAAGCACGGGTGTACTAGGACGCTTTGCCGAGCCGACTGTCGAACCAGGTACAAGAAGAGCGACATGCACCGCTTGTCCATCTCATATCCACCTTGGTCCACCCCTTTTCACCTCTCTCCACCTTTCCATCTCACCAGGTACGAGAAGAGCTACATGCACCGTGATTGGGTGACGCTCGTGGCCGTGTCAGATGCCGATTTCTTCATCACAGGCAGCAGAGACGGTGCGTTATAAGCAGAGAAATAATTCCTTATAAGCAGAGAGGGCTTGTTGCAAGTTGAGGGGTTCGGTTCGGTATAAGCAGAGGTTCCATTGTAGGTAGAAATGGTGTTGCATAAGCAGAATTGTGCGTTATCTAATAAGGTGCCAAGCAGAGGATTCGTTGTAGGTAGAGATGGTGTTGCATAAAAAGTGTGCCAAAGTTTGTGAAGGGATAACGGCCAC